TTGGGCATTGCTGAATGAGTCATTACACAAGTTGTCATGTGTTGATAAACATGCGGTGAAGAAAGAACATATACAATATATAATGATTAGCCAGCTTGGCATCAGGGATATAAAATATTACTTGGTGTAAAATCAATGATGTTTCTATATAAAATGTTTCAGTTTGAGACGTATGCCAAGCAGATATGCAGCTATAGAGTCAAATTATTGATCACAAAAATTTATGCTAAAATAATTGTCTCTTCAATAACGACGTATTTTATTTAGTGCCAAAGTGAAATTACGAATTGGGACTCTCTGCATGTTTTATTACGAAGGGAAAATCAAATGTGCATGCGTAAAGCATACAACAACAAATTAAATGCTGGTGGCTTTGAGGTCTGGATTTTAGATCATTCTGGATACTGGATACTGGACATCCATATCTCGGACTTTGTACTGTAGTTATTAAGAAATAATTTTTTTAGTGTATATTAATATACACATCTTTTAGTTCAAAGATAAAAAACTATATAATTATTAATTATTGCATCAGAATTCATTGTAATGAAAATTATAGAATAAAATATAACAATTATTGTATAATAATAGTTATTATACTTTATCATTAAATTATATATTATAATAATAATAATAATATACACTCTGTCACAAAAAAAATATATGCACCAAGAAGAAATGGAGCCACAATCACGAAACTCGGCTGGAATGTAGTCTGGTAAAAGATGTGCAAATGATTTAAATTTTGACACCAGCGAGACAAGGGTAAGTGTGCTATGCACATATCAGACGAGCAGCTGGGAGAGTTTAAAAGCATGATTTCTCTTGCCATATGACCATTCAAACGAATCTGTTGACTTAGATGGACGGCATTATGACTACATACTTGCCAACCTATGACACTCAAAAATCAGGAGATTTTTTTAAGAAATCAGGAGATTTTCCACAATGTTAAAAAGACTTTTTAAATGATAAAAATATGGTTTTTAATAATGAATTAACTTTAATAGTAACTAATTCTTAAATGCAAGCAAACAAAAATACCTTACACTAAAAAAAAACATTTTTTTTACTTGCATCGTTTACGGGGCAAAAAAAAAAAAAAAAAAAAAAAAAAAAAGGAGGGATTTTAGTTTAGAAAATTAGGAAGTTTCTTGTTAAGAAACTAATTTTGTTCACTGCAATGACACGTAGGCCTGCTTTCGCTAAGAAAAGTTTTTCTAATGTGTCATCACTAATATTAGATCTAAATTTAGTCTCGTTTACGCAAAACATGAAAATCCTCTCACACTCTGCACTACTATGGGGAACTGTCAAGATGGCCAACACAATTCTAGACAGTTGGCTATATTTAAAATTCCATCAGCACCTTTCAGTTTTCCAATTAAACTCCACTGGGTGTCAATCCTAGCTGATTTATAACTTCATTCAAGTTTTCTAATTGTAAAATGCTGTTATGCAGCTGTGGGAATTGTTTCAATTTTTTTCCTTTTAGAAACTCCTTTCAAGATAATAAAAATATCAACAATGTGTTCATCCACATTTATTGGTAAAGAAGCTGCCCCTTTTTCAGCTGCTAAATTTAAGAGGTGACAGGTGCACCTCATAATCTGCAATCTGAATTTTCCCTTCTTAAGATGCCTGCAACACCAGTCTTCAAGCCTACCAATACTGGTGCATTATCGGCACCAAGTGCTAAGCAATTATCCAGAGGGCCTGCATTTTCTTTTAAAGTTAATAATTAGCTGTGGTATATTAAAGCCTGTCAAATGTCCTTCTAAAATGGGGACAGAAAGTAAACTGCACTCAATCTTAAGAATCTGGATTAAAAAAGAAACAACAACAATTGGATCAGTTTTGAATCGGTATTATTGCTTCTATCCATAGAGAGGCAGAACGGAGCTGTTTTGTGCAATCAATAATGAAGATTTATTTTTCAAACTCATTTCTTTAACAATTGCACCTGTTTTGGTTCTTGCACTTGAGTATTTCTTAGCAATTTCACTATTGGGAAACATTTTTCTAAATAAAGCTGCAGCATGTTCCGATGCATTCAGTGGCAGGTGTTGCTCCAGTAAAAAAGGCAGAAACAGACATTCTGCATTAAAACTTTTGGTCCTTTGTTTCCGAAGAAAAATTTAATTTTTCGTTTTTTTAAAAAACAACTCATGTTATCCTTGTGTTTTTGTGTTCGCACATGTTTGAGAACATCCGCCCTTCCATATTGCGAATTCGAAAAATCGCAACGACAGGTGGTGCACATCGCAAATTTATTACATTTCCTTGAGGAAATAATGGAAGGAAAGTCAACTGTGTACGATTTTTGAAACGTACACGAGTATTTCATTCTCGCAGACATAACAAAAGATGATAATTTCTAAAACTATTTCCCGAAGGCACGTGCACTCACACAACTCAGCACAAATTGAACGAAATAACTAAAGTCCTTGTCCTCATTGGCTAATATATGCCAGCTGACACGCAGTGGAGTTCGATGCCCATTGGAGAACTGGAGAACGACGTTTCTGGGATACGTATAATGCTCTCACTCACAAAGCATAAGTTATCTGATTCGTAAGGTTTTGTTTTAGATAAAATCTAGAGAAAATTCAATTGCTTTCAGACATCCAAAATCACTTTTGTTCATATAACAAAGTATTAAGCCAAGTTCCATAAAAATCGTGAGAAATTTTAAGAATAAGAAAAAGTCGGGAGAAATATATTGTAAATCGGGTTGGCGGGAGATCGGTCGAAAATCGGGAGTCTCCCGCCTAAATTGGGAGAGTTGGCAACTCTGTGACTAGAGATGCCTCTGAGATGTAACCAGCAGCAGCATGAACAGTTGCACTTTGAGAAGGAGCACATAGTATGTCTCAGAAAAGCAGGTTGGTCGAACAGGCACGCTGGGTGCCACCTCAGTCAGAGTGATATGGTAATTGTTTGGTGTTTCCGACAATGGATCATGGAACAGACAGCCTACCGTCGCAGAGGGTCAGGGATTCCAGGAAAACAAACGAGTGTGGGGATTGTGTAATCATAAAAGCGGCCACTTCCGCTTCAACAATGTCGCTAGTATCGATTCGATGCCATTTACCATCTTCCAAGCATCTGGTGGTATCAAGAGAAACTATTTAGAGATGACTGGCAGACGCTGGTATATGCTGACGATGTTCATTAAGATGGCTACCACTGACTCCACATCATAGGCAGTGTCAACTGGATTTTTGCCGAATAATTGATAATCAAGTTAACATCAGTAGCATTAACAATATTGCCACCTGGATGACTTTTCCAGACAGACAAATAGTTTGCCAACTGCTGGACAATACAGTGTTTGTCCAGATTTTCAAAGATTTCTATTAAAAACTCAATCACATAGCTCAAGTTAAAATTAACTATTATGTTTTATATTATTATGTATTATAAAATCACTTTTTATATTTAGATAGTTACTGACCACATATCAGGAATTACAGCAAAATCCCATTTAATCAAAATTCATCCTAACAGGAACAGCAAAGAAAAATACCACCGACTAACAATCATATCCAACCTTTTTCCTTCCTAAAAACACTGGCTGTATATTAAATAATAAACCACAAAATGAACCTTTTCAGGAGATATTTTTAAATGTCTTTGACAGATTATGCCAATTCAAATTTGCATTGCATTGAACAAGTTAGAAGTTCCTACTAAAAGAAAAACATTATAGGCTTTCATTATATTTAAAAAAAAAAAAAAGTTATATAACAATATATATTTTTCAGAGGATTTTGGTATTCTATTAGGAAATTTAGCAGTCATGAATAACTGAAGTTGACAATACACTGAATTCTTGATTTTACATGTGGGAGTTATCTCTGTTGTAGTCTATCAGCACAATACAATAATTGTTATGTTTATGTTAATACACTGTTGCACAGAAATTTCTCAAGCTAATTTTAGGGAAGAAAATGGAATACATTTGACTTTTTAGAAGAAACTTATAATTTGGTTCAGCGAATCTCACTGCTAACCACTGGGGATGAAATTGAGTTTAATGCTAATTTATGTCTACTTGCTATTGTAAAAGGGGAATGGACTGCCAACACTGAGGCAAAAATATCAAGTTACTTCTGATGTTTAAGATTATGAAAAAATAAATGAAGGAAACACAAGAAAAGGATAGGGGAAAATATAAGAATGATAGACAGCATGATTTTATAAGACCAATGCAGCCTAGTTGAAGAGATTCTAAAAAAAAAAAAAAAAAAAAAAAAAAAATGTGAAGTATAGAGGGAATAACAAGGATGACCATGATAAGGGGCTAAAATTTATATATGAGTTAAGAAAGAGAACTTCAATTTAGTGCTATTATATCTTTGTACAGATCTTTGTTTGTATTGATTCAACAATATGACTCTAAAGAAAGGAATATAACAGACATTTTCATTAGGAATATTGAAAATACAGTAGGTTATTCACTCTTCTACTACTATAGATGTTCATGTTTATTGCATTTACAAAGTTCAGAGGCATGTAAAATCTACCAGTCTCAAAATATTCTTTAAACAACAATGCCAGGGACTGAGATATCTGATCCTTCAGAAAAACCTCTCTAAAATATCTGTATTCAAATTTGAACAGTGCAAGACAGAAGCGTAATTCTCACCACTCAACTGGTTGCACGACTACCATGCCAACTAGATTACAGTAAAGTCTCTCATTAATGATTTTATGCATCTATGATTCTTCAAAGGCTAGGGAATATTCAATAAAAACAACTTGTTTTTACCTTCAATGTGGGGGGGGCTTGATGGTCATATACATATATATGTTCAAAGGATTAAGACACTGAATATTTTTTTTAACCAGTGATGATAAATTACATTTATGTAAAAAAGTTTGCATGGAAGAATGCAGAATTAAGAATATATGAAAATTGGAATGTACATACATATGTCAATATTTATCTTTACTTATTTAATGTATTTATAAAAACAATGATATAACAAACTTACTTCATTAACGATAATTCTTCTAAAGTCTTTTGATTTGAATTATTCATCTGCACCATACCGTTTTTCTCCTTTGAGTTTCTTTTCTAATTAAAAGAAAAGGCCAAATGTTATATATCTTAATTTTATTACACACAGTATTAAAAGATCAGATTGCATGGAATATTAAAACTGCATAATGCAAATCAAAAAGGAACGAGAAAGAAACACTAAAGGTTGCTTGCGGTATACTATCACTATTCCCATTATAACAATAATTCAGACACTGGTCTGAAAAATCCTAACGATAAAAAATATATAAATCAAAATTAAATAATTATAATTTAAATTAGCAATAGCCCCATAATTCTTCATTTTAATTTGTGTATCTATCTCCCTTTCTGTTCTAAAAGTAGAAGTTGTCTTATGTTTATGGACTGCATCTTTCCAAATTAATCTGTTTCATGCAATGCAAACAGCTTTTATTCCACCAGATTAAAGAATCTTTTGACTATTTTTCTTAAATGTGCAGTTATTTCCCTCCTTTTTCGCTCTGACTTTACCTATTGTTCATTGTCTGAAAATGTAAGCTATACAAAATTGTGAGGTGCATACTGCACCCATAAAAAATGTCTGACTGAGAGTGTCTTAAGAATATCCAACAATAAATTATATCTTGACTATGACCCCTGAATAAACTTATTTTTCTTAAAGGTTATTTTTTATTGACGGACCAGCTTCACTGCTTCGTTTTTTATTCTTTTATTTAGAAAAACATCATATACAAATATTTACAATGAAGCAAAATACAATTTAATTGTGAGCTTCGGTTACAAGTAATTGCTCACGTCAGACCGGTTAGATTTCTTCTTCAAGTCTGTTGCCTCAATCGTAGGAGGCGATGATTTGGCGAGATTCGTTGGCGTAAAAATGCGCCAACATCCCGCCCGGCCTTGCTATGTTCACATGCAAGAACTTAACATAAATTTAATTATGAAATACCAGTATTAAAGTTTCAGTTATTCATGTAAACAAGTATAAAATATGTATAGAAAAATATAAAATAAGTAAACAAAACATGAATACAAAATTATTGAGAAAAATAATTTTCAATATAATTACTAACAACTGAGTAACATAATTCACAACTTGCTAAACTTCAATAGGCAATACAGCTATTTTATTAATTGTCCTTTTAAAGTCCCCTGTTTTGGTACGAACTTTTACAACACGGACTTTTCCATCAGAACCGTGGTACAATGATGTTATTCGCCCTAAAAGCCAATTGTTAATTGGCAGAAAATCTTCTTTAATCAAAACCATTTGGCCGATCATCAGATCATTTTTTTCAACCATCCATTTTGATCTAGATTGTAAAGTATTCAAGTAATCAGACTTCCATCTTTTCCAAATAAGTTGTATAGTTTTTGTAGTTTTTTGCCAACGACTTAAGCGGTTTTCCTTTAAATCCGTTAAAAACGGCTCAGAAATTGCTGTTATAGGTCGCCCTATCAAGAAATGACCTGGCGTCAGAACTTCGAAACTTTCTGAATCACTAGAAAGAGGAGTAAGCGGTCGCGAATTTAATATTCCTTCTATCTGAATGACAATCGTTTCGAATTCTTCGTAAGTGAAATGAAAATTGCCAATCGTACGTTTAAGATGGTACTTCACCGATTTTATCCCAGCTTCCCAAAGTCCACCGAAGTGAGGCGATTTGGGTGGAATAAAATTCCAATCTATATTTTCTTGCGAAAAATGATTAGCTAATTCTTTGTCTGGGAAATTAATGAGCTTATAAAATTTTTTTCAATTTTGAATTCGCTCCAACAAAGTTAGTAGCATTGTCGGTATAAATTTTGAAACATTTGCCACGTCTACTTGTAAAACGTTTAAGTGTTGCAATTAAAGCATCGGAAGTCAAATCTGTTAATGTCTCAAGATGGATGGCTTTTGTTGCGAAACATATAAAAATACAAATATACAATTTATTCAGAATACCTTTACGTTGATTTTTAAATTTCACTAAATAAGGGCCACATAAATCAATACCTGTAATAGAAAATGGAGCTGAAACATTAACTCTTTCACTAGGCAAATTACCCATAATTTGTGAAGAAAGAGTGGGCTTACATTTAAAGCACGTTACACATTGATGTACTGTTTTACGTGCGAGACTACTACGGCCACCTAAAGGCCAAAATTTCAAGCGCACTGCATTTAGCAGACCTTGTGGTCCAACATGAAATAATTTCCTGTGTAAACTTTCAAAATAAATTTTACTTAATCTTGAACCCTTAGGTAAAATAGGAGGATGTCTTTGAGAATATGGCACTGAAGCATTCTTCAGCCTTCCTCCTACACGTACTATTCCTTTGTCATCAAAAAACGGAAATAAATTCGAAATATTACTTGGCAGTTTCTTTCCTTCAAGGAGAACTCGTTGTTCATGCTTAATCAACACTTCTTCGGCTTCTCTTACCTCCTCCACTGACAGTGGTCCTGTGTTTTTTACCTTATTCCTGCAATTGAAAATAAACCTGAAAATATAAGACAAAACATGGTTAATTTTATAATAATTGTTTGAAAGTTCTAAGAGGTCGTCCACAATAAAATGTTGAGAGCTGTCATTTAGCAGGGCTGTCTCTTTACAAGTCTCATCTTCAAAAGGAATTTTCCTTTCTCGCCGCAAAGTTTCTTTTTCGACTTGTTCGATGGTTTCAATCTCAGGAATAAATGGTTGCAAGTTCTTGAAACTGTCAGGCTGCATCAAGAATTCTGGACCTGTCCACCATCTAGAATCTGTCACCAAGGAATCAGCATTCATTCCACGTGAGAGAAGATCGGCAGGATTTTCTTTACCTGCACAGTGATGCCAAGAGTTGGGATCTGTCAAGCTGGTGATTTCGTTCACTCGGTTTGCCACAAATTGCTTCCATCGGGTTTTTGCACCCTTTATCCAAAAAAGTGCAATCTTGGAATCTGTCCAATGGTATTCAACAGAAGATCTTTTCAGATTCACGATTCTCTTTACCTTAGAACTAAGACGAGCTGCAACTAGAGCACCCAATAGTTCTAATCTTGGTAAGGTTACACCGTTTAATGGAGCCACACGACTTTTTGAAGTTAGGAGTTTCACCGATATTCCACTGAGTGTCTTCACCTTCAAATATATGGCAGCGCCATATGCCTTTTTACTTGCGTCGCAAAAACTGTGTATTTCAACAGTATCTTCCTTTGATGCAGAATCATTAACCAACCTAGGTATTTTCAAATTTTCTAAGTGATGAAGTTCAGCACACCACTTCTTCCATTCCTTTTCAATTTCCTTTGGTAAAGGTTCATCCCACTGAATTTTTTCATTCCAGAGATCTTGGATGAGGCATTTAACTCGAATGGTGAAAGGCGAAATTAATCCTAAAGGATCAAATATCTTCCCTATTGCTTGAAGTAAGAAGCGTTTCGTATTTTTGTCCATAGAAAGAAATTCCAAAAGATTTTTAGTATCCATAGTTAAATAATCTTCGTGCGTCTTCCAAGAAAGTCCCAAGATTTTAGTTTGGTGTGCGCCCAAGCTGAGAGTAGCGTCTGCAGGATAGGTATCGAATTCTTCATTCTTCCATTGCTCCATTAATTCAGCATTATTGCTAATCCACTTCCTGAGGACCATTCCAGCCTCTTCCATAATTTTCTTGGCATTTTTAGATACTTCAAGTGCTTCTTCAAAATCCTCACTTCCAGAAATGAGATCATCTACATAAAAACACTGGTCTAAAATTTCAACTGTTTCGGGAAAATCTTCCTTGTATTTTTTAATATGATGTCTAATAGTAGCTGCTAACAGGAATGGGCTCGAACTGACCCCGAAATTTACTCGATTGAAACGGTAAATCTGTAAATTGGGCCTTTTATCAACACTTGGATCATCACTACTCCAAAGAAAACGAACTGCATCCTTATGTTCATCAGAGAGGCATATCTGCAGAAAAGCTTGTTTAACATCTGAACAAAATGCAATTTTGTTCAATCTGAAATTAATTAGTAAATCCAAAAGATTTGGATTTAAGTTAACCCCTGGCCACAAGCAGTCATTTAAAGAAAGTTCATTATTTTGATGACTACCCGCATCAAAGACGATCCTAGTTTTCGACGTTAAACTACTTTCTTTCCGCACAGCCTGATGAGGCAAATAATATATAGGCTATTTAAAGCATTTTCTTTTGTATCAGGATTTACGATGCTGATTATGCCTTCTTTTAAATAATCGCAAATAATTTCACGGTATTGTTGATGTAACTCAGGATCATGACTAAATCTTCTCCACAAATTCTGAAAACGCTGCCGCGCCAAGGAATAATTATCAGATAATTCTTCATAATGTTTCCTAAAAGGTAGTTAGTTGTACTACATAACGTCCATTTTTAAATTCAACGGTGTCATTAAAAATTTCCATTGCCTGATCCTTTTCATGCAAAACTGGATCATCACGAATACCAAGTCCCTCTAAATCAAAGAAAAGTTTTAAAGTATTTTGAAGAGAGTCATTTTGCACAAGAAAACAATGTCCCTGATAAGAAGGTTGTATTTCGTTAAGCTTCCCGCATGCGATCCATCCGAATTCAGACTCTTTAAACAATAAATCATCATTTATTTTATACGTATTATTTTTCAAAACCTTAAAAAATAAATCAGCACTTATAAGGGCATGTACCTCTGAAGCTTCATAAAATGATTTATCAGCTAAATTTAAAAATTGTGGAATTTCTACTTTCGAAATATCTAACGTAGTACACGGAGTTAGTCCTGTTATCTTATTTACAATCAAGAATTCAACTGGTTCATTAAAGGTACATTCTTCATTTGAAATAAATGTATTCACTTTCCATTTAATATTTTGAATTGATCCATTAAGACCTGTAACAGGCATTTTAATTTTCTCCCTTTTTATTCCTAAGCATTCACTTATTTTATCTGTAAGAACACATATATTAGATGCGCTGTCTAAAATCGCACGGATTTTTATTCTTCGATTATTGGCGTCACGGACATAAATCTCTGCAGTAGAAAAAAGTACACTTTTTCTTTTTTGTTTATTCTTGTTACTTAA